ATTAGTGCAAGCATCTCGAAGTTGAAATATACGCTTTGGTGAAGTGATCAAGGCATATGGTTTTATACAGACTTACGGTGAAGCCTGTATTTACAAGAAAGTGAGTGGGAGCTCTGTAGCATTTCTGATATTATATGTGGTTGAAATATTATTTGGAAATAATATAGAATTTCTGGATAGCATAAAAGGATACTTGAATAAGAATTTTTCAATAAAAGACCTCGGTAAAGCTAATTACGTATTGGGCATCAAGATCTATAGAGATAGATCAAGACGCTTAATAGGACTTTCACAAAGCACATACCTTGACAAGATTTTGAAGGAGTTCAAAATGGATCAGTCAAAGAAGGAGTTCTAGCCTGTATTGTAAAGTGTGAAGTTGAGTAAGACTCAAAAGCCCGACCACGGCAGAAGATAGAGAGAATGAAAGTCATTCCCTATGCCTCAACCATAGGTTCTAAAAAGTATGCCATGTTGTGTACCAGACCTGTTATGTGCCTTGCCATGAGTTTGGCAAGCTCAAACAACAATTGGGTTAAGTTGGAGTGGCGGAAGTGTATGGAGGGCAAGGTTATGCGGAAGTGGTGGTGGTGGTTGATGAAGAAGCAACAGTCCCTAAGTAGCCGAAACACCTTAGGAGACTCTATTCGCTACTCAAGCAACCACTAATGCTATATGGAGCAAACTGGGTTTGGTTGCGGAAGTCGGTGGTGGTATAGCGGATGATATGGTGGAAGGCCTAGGCAAAGATGCCAAAGTTCCAAAATTTTGATGGAGTAAAATGGTGCTGAAACCTATCTATATGGACGGGGGATGTTAATAGCTTCTCAACGAGCTAAAGAACGCAAAAATCAGACTCCGGATGTGAAAGTTATGGTCAAAACGGTAAAGCACGCAATGCTGAATCGGGGTGAGGCGGTAGTACCGCTCGGGAGGGCGGTAGTACTGCTTGTGGTGCTCAGTGGTAGTACCGCTTGGAAGGGTGGTAGTACCGGTCGTGTCGGGAAAACTCTTAGATCGGGATCAGGGCAAATTTGGGGTGGAAATGGATGATTTCAGGGGCAAAATTGGATGGATTTCGTGGATGGAAAGAGGTGAAACTTGGGGAGATGCTAGATCCACTCGAAACCAAGCAAATCCATGGATCAAAATCAACAAAACATCATCAAACCAACGAATCACAAAAAAATTTGGGGCTATTTTTGGTCAGGATTTTCGAAACTGGGGAACTAGAAAAAGAGGGGTAGGGCTCCAAATACGTGATACATGTGGCTCATGATACCAAGATGATGTAGGGTAGAACCCTGGATGCCCGATCTTTCATGATTGGAGTGGATCCCTATGAGGAACACGAAGGACACGGGGAAGAACCAGAGAAATCACAAGTAAAAACACTCAAGAACAAGTCCAGTCACACATCCACTAGAAATCAAACACACAAGATCCACAAGGTACATGAACAACAAAGGGAAAGATACAAGGTAAGGTTCATCTCCAAGAGGAGGTCTTGATGGGAGTGATCCAGGAGTAGATCACTAGATAATAGTCAAAATTATCCTTAGAGGACTAAGGAAATATTTCTCGGTTATGGAGGTGATAAAGAGTTCGTCGTAAGGAGTTACGTCGATACAAGTTTTTTCACCGATCGAGATGACTCCGAGTCTCAATCTGGATACATATTAAAAGTGGAAGCAATTAGCTAGAGTAGCTCCATGCAGAGCATTGTAGACATAAAAATTTGCAAAATACATACGGATCTGAATGTGATAGACCCGTTGACTAAATTTCTCTCACAAACAAAACATGATCACACCTTAGTACTCTTTGGGTGTTAATCATATGGCGATGTGAACTAGATTATTGACTCTAGTAAACCCTTTGAGTGTTGGTCACATGGCAATGTGAACTGTGGGTGTTAATCACATGACAATGTGAACTATTGGTGTTAAATCACATGGCGATGTGAACTAGATTATTGACTCTAGTGCAAGTGGGAGACTAAAGGAAATATGCCCTAGATGCAATAATAAAGTTGTTATTTTATACTTCCTTATTTCATGATAAATGTTTATTATTCATGCTAGAATTGTATTAACCGGAAACTTGATACATGTGTGAATACATAGACAAAATACCGTGTCCCTAGTAAGCCTCTACTAGACTAGCTCGTTGATCAAAGATGGTTAAGTTTCCTAACCATAGACATGTGTTGTCATTTGATAAACGGGATCACATCATTAGGAGAATGATGTGATGGACAAGACCCATTCGTTAGCTTAGCATTATGATCGTTCAATTTTATTGCTATTGCTTTCTTCATGTCAAATACATATTCCTCCGACTATGAGATTATGCAACTCCCAGATACCAGAGGAATGCCTTGTGTGCTATCAAACTTCACAACGTAACTGGGTGATTATAAAGACTCTCTATAGGTATCTCCGAAGGTGTTTGTTGGGTTGGCATAGATTGAGATTAAGATTTGTCACTCCGAGTATCGGAGAGGTATCTCTGGGCCCTCTCGGTAATACACATCATAAGAAGCCTTGGAAGCAAAGTGACTGATGAGTCAGTTGCAAGATGATGTATTACGAAACGAGTAAAGAGACTTGCCGGTAACGAGATTGAACTAGGTATGAAGATACCGACGATCCAATCTCGGGTAAGTGACATACCAATGAACAAAGGGAATAACGTATGTTGTCATAACGGTTCGACCGATAAAGATCTTCGTAGAATATGTGGGAGCCAATATGAGCATCCTGGTTTCGCTATTGGTTATTGACCGGAGAGGTGTCTCGGTCATGTCTACATAATGTTGAACCCGTAGGGTCCGCACGCTTAACGTTCGATGACGATATTGTATTATATGAGTTATGTGATTTGGTGAACGAATGTTGTTCGGAGTCCCGGATGAGATCACAGACATGATGAGGAGTCTCGAAATGGTCGAGAAGTAAAGACTGATATATAGGACGATAGTATTCGGACACCGGAAGTGTTCCGGAGGGTACCAGGTACATATCGGGTCACCGGAAAAGAGTTTCGGGCAACCCCGGCAAAGATATGGGCTTAAGGGCCGAGGAAGGGACATACGAGCCCACAAGGGGTTGGTGCGCCCCTTTCCCTGGTCGCAGGCCCTAGAGGAAGGAAAGGAGGGGGCGCCACCTCCTCCTTCTTCCCCCCTTGGTGGGAGAAAGGAAAAGGGAGGGGGGCACCTCCTCCTTCCTTCCCCTCATCGCCAAAAGAAGGAAAGGGGGGCGCCGACCTAGGGCAGGAGCCCAAGTAGGATCCCTCCTACTTGGGGCGCCCCTAGGGTTGCTTCTCCCTCCCTCCCACTTATATATACATGGGGGGGGGCACGCATAGCCTAGACATTATCTTAGCCATGTGCGGCGCCCCCCTCCACAGTTTACGCCTCCGGTCATATCTTCGTAGTGCTTAGGCAAAGCTTTGCGTGGATTACTTCACCATCACCGTCACCACACCGTCGTGCTGACGGAACTCATCTACTTCCTCGACACTTTGCTGGATAAAGAGTTCGAGGGACGTCATCGAGCTGAACGTGTGCAGAACTCGGAGGTACCGTATGTTCGGTGCTTGATCGGTCGGAACGAGAAGAAGTTCGACTACATCATCCGCGTTGTCAAACGCTTCCGCTTTCGGTCTACGAGGGTACGTAGACACACTCTCCCCTTCTCATTGCTATGCATTTCCTAGATAAATCTTGCGTGAGTGTAGGAAAATTTTGAAATACACGCTACGTTTCCCAACACTTTCGATGAAAATCAGCAAAGGAATGATTGGCTAAGGAAGATATACCACTAGGTTAACACTTCCTTGCTTCACTTAATCTGTAAAGGAAGTAATCTGGATCCGAGGACCATTTAAAATGACAAACTATTTTACTCCGCCTAAGAATACTGTTTACTCTGCCTAAGAATAACTCCCAACATTTCACAATAGACTTTTTGTCAAAGGAACATTTACATGCATCCACACATTTTAGGATAAAGATCAACATCATCTACACCATTCCATCCTTGACCAACCTAGAGCCTACAACTGAAATCTACACTGACGGTACACACAAGCAAATTAGATTTCATATTCAGTCCCTCTCTGTCTTCGTCAAATGCAGACATCTCCTTCCCCCAAATTCAGATTTCATACTCAGTGCCTCTTTATCTTTATCTAATCCAGATGCAAATTCTCATCGGATGAAAAGCCATCACAAGATTCATAACCAAGATGCAACTGTACCTATTTATTCAGTGCGAACAGGGCCGCCGATGCCGACGATGAAGGCGTGGTCGACGAAGTGGCGGGAGTCGAGCGTCGGCGCACGCTTGGAGAAGACCAATTTTTGCCAAGACCATTTTCTTGGTGTGGACTGTGGCGTCGACCTGATGGTGTAGGGAGCTCGACAAATGTGGCTGCCGACTACGGTGGGTGGAAGATGATGTGAGAGGGGTGGGGCGGGGCTACAGTGGAAAGAGAGGAGGTCGACGATGGCCGACTGGGGAGGAGGTGGTCACTGATGGGCTGGCAGAACGAGGTGGCGACAAAAATCCAAACGTCAGATGGTCGGCGGGGGAACGAGGCAGCGACGTGGGGAAGCAAGGCAACAACGGCGTGGGGCGGTGGGAGGGGGCGGTGGTGGTGGGTGGGGTGAGCAAGGCGGCGTGGGGCGTGGGACAGAGGAGGGAGCAAGGTGGCCGTTGTCGGCGTAGGGCGTCGCCATTTGGGAAGAACAAAGCGAGGAAGGATAGGGCGGCGAGGAAGGGGTGTGGATTCTGTCGGGAGAGAGGTAGGGACTAATTTGCAAAAAAATCGCTGCGACATTTTGTTAGACGGAGGGAGTATTAAATATTTTTGAGGGTGGACGGAGCATTATAAGTTGCAAGTAGAGATATAGATTGAGGCCGACCAAGGGACGGCCGCGAGGCGAGGCGGCGACGAGAGAGGCGGGCTTCGCTCACCAGTCCGAGCCGCTCGCCATGGATCCCATCATGAAGCTCCTCGAGGACGACGAAGAGGTGCCTGGCCCAACACCGAACTCCTCCCACCTTCCTGCCATTTCTATCCAGTTATTTGGGGGAAAGGAAGGGCCCGATGGCGGTTTCTTGTTGTTGTGGTTGCGCAGGACGAGAGCATGCACTCGGGCGCTGACGTCGAGGCCTTCACGGCGGCGCTGAATCGCGAGGTGGAGGGCAGCGCCAGCAGCAGCAGCAGTGCCGCCGCTGCCTTCTCCTTCCAGCCGCTGGATCACGCCGCTGGTAAGCCCGATTTCCTGTTCTAGAATTGAATTTGGGCCCGCCCCGATTTCCCAAGAACCCGGTATCAGAATACGTGGTTCTTGCATTACAATTTTGATGAATAATGGAATCTAGAAACATAATGCGGAATGTAGCTCCTAAGTTGGTATTGCCGGTTTGCAGTTTTAGGTCTAGAAGTACCCCAACACGTGGCTTTCGGACAAATGAACCAGTCATCAATGGACCGACTCTCCTCTATGAGGGAATGTTTGGAATCAATAGAAGACGAATTTTGTTGAGCTGAGACTCTTTTTTATGGAGGAACCGGCAGGAGCGCTGCCTTATTTTTAGGAACCGGCATTGAGCTGAGACTAGGGTTTGTACTTGAAGCTTATCTATGCCATCGAGGAAACAAAACTTTCGAAGTAAAATTTTGAATTACTGAAGATATGGGTGGTCTGCTATGAGGTCTCCTTGACTGCATGCATATACTAATTAAGAGCTGTTATTCAATTTGACAACTTACCTTGTTACTTCCCCCCTTCACAAATATAAGAGGTTTTAGATATTTTAATATGGACTACATACGGACTGAAATGAGTGAACAAACACACTAACATGGTTCTACATACATCCGATTCACAAAAAAGCTACATCATATTATAGTTGTGAACGTAGGGAGTATTATAGAGAAATGGTTATGTACTAATGTTAGTGCATGAATATACTCTAGCATATTGCAAGTCAATTAACTACTATGTTGTCAAATTAGAATGGTGCTTTCCTAAGTAGGTCTGGATTGAGAGAAATGTATTCAGTGAGCATTAGGATACCAATGTACCATTCGATGTTCGTTGATAATTATTCAAATACAGTAGGGGCTGCTTTGATTCATAGGATTTTTACAGGATTTTCATAGGATTAGAATTTTTTCCTATATGTGTTGTTTGATTTGTAGAATGCAATCCTTAGGAATCATTCCTATGTAATTTTCCCCAGTCTATTGAGTAGGGAGTTTTGCATGAAGTCTGAGCTCTTGGAGAAGTCCCTATCCTTCCATCAAACACACAATTGTGCCAATTCCTTTGTTTTGCAAGTCCATAGGATTCAAAGGGGCAGGGCGTAGCGATCCTCCATTTTTCCTATCCTATGAACCAAAGGAGCACTAGATAGGGATATGTTGGCCAATAATGTTTACTGAGCTGCATGTGTTTCTTGAACGGACATGAGTTGCAACTTAATTCAGGAATTGCGACATGGTGGTAGTTTTAATAGTATTTTGTGTCGTCCTTTCGCTGTAATAGAATTTAAATAAGTGTACAACATCTAGGGCCTCCACAATGCGTTACTTCAGCATTATTTGGATCAACATTCACAATGCCAAATCAACATTGTTAGATTCATTAGGAAATGTAGTTTCATAGTATATATATTGGGTATTGTAGATGTTGATATTTTTTAATATAAATTTGGTCAAACTTTGTAAAGTTTGACTTGACACAAATCTAATACGTCGAGTAAAAAGGACCGGAGGGAGTATTGTAGATGCCTGCCCATGCACTGGTCTTTTACTAGCAGTGAGGTTTTCAAACAAATATTTTTTGAAGTTTATAATCAGTTAGGAGTTACTGAGTTAATAACAATGCATGGTGGTGTTTTTCTTGGAGTATTTATTTTCCAGTTTGCTATGAAGAACTTGAACAAGAGTCAGCATCAACAGTGGTGCTCTAGAAGCACTTTCATTTTAATTTACTGAATTGGTGTCCAGTAACTTTTTAGCTGTATTTACAGTTTTACTCTGTCATTGTATTTGAACTGGAGTGAAGAAGCTTACTAATTTGACGCAAAATTGCAGGTACATTACCTCAGAAAAGCAACCCAGTAGTAAACAACAGTCATGGACAGTGGCAAGGTTCAGTAAAGAATGACAGTGGAAACCAGGAGAGCCAACAGCAGGAAGAAAAACATTTATATTGCAAAAAAGAGCAGTCATCCGGACCTGAAGCAGTTCCCATAGGTGCTGATAACAAACAACTTCACTCTAATACTCAAATTGAATGTTTACAGCTAAAGGTTAAGCGAGAGCCAGGAAACAATGCTCAACAAAGCACTGTTGGTCAGCAGCAGCCTATGCAACAAATAAAGAGTCAACAACCACCAGGCACAAACCAAACCAATAGTAGTCCAGCTATGGTGGGAAAACCTCCTGTTGTTACATTTCATATGCTAATCCCGATTTTGAGACGCTACCTTGACAAAGACAGGGATATACAAGTTCAGTCCATTTTTGCAAAGTTACGGGTTGGTATTTGTTACTCAGTCATGTTGAATTAGATAAACAACTGGTTCAAGAATTATTGTCATTGCATAACAGATTATCTAATTATTTTTATTACTTTATTAAAGTTTAATTTTTTTCCGATAGAAAAATGAGGTCAGCAAGGAACATTTTTTAAAGGTTATTAGGACTATTGTTGGTGATAAGTTGCTCAAGCAAGCTGCTTCACAATATCAAATGCAGGTAACAAAGCTTTTCCATTTTATTGTGGTCCATTTGAAACATAACCTGATTCCACTTCATTTTGCTTAAGTTAGGTCAATCTATATATCTTTAAGCAGTCCCTATATTGTTATTCTTACTCTTATAAACATATTCTTTTTCCGTTGATAGTTATTTTCATCTTGTTTGGCTGCAGGCTGCTCAGGCACAACGGAATCCCCCGGCAAACCCAAGCAGTTATTCTATGTCAAGTCAAGTCCCAGGTCAGCAAAATGAGAGCCCAAGACCGCCTCAATTTCGACCGTCCTCATCAGGCCAAATGCAGAGTAACATGGGTTATGCAGCTTCAGAAGGCAACTTACAAAAGCCTAATGAAACTGGTAACATGTCAGATAGGAAAGGGTTGCAGATGCTACAAAGCCGTCCACCTAATATCCACTCAATCCCACTGCAAGCAACCCAGGATCATGTGCAGCGTCCGCAGACATTTTTGCCAGCCTTAGGGGCAAATAATATTCATTCTTGTCAAGTTCCACAGTCAGTTGGAGGTCCAATTGCACCACTTAGACCGCAGATGACAGATTCCAGTCAAAGAGGACAATCAGTCCAGGGAGGTGTTGCCAGTGTTCTTGGCAGTATGGCCACACGGCCAGCATTGCAAAATAATCAACCTTCACAGCAACAACCAAACAAGGAGCAGAAAACTAATTCTTTCACTCCAACAGTACATATGAACAAAGAAACTGCTAACCAACCCTCTGAATCTGGACAGAGCTCTTTTGCCGCCTTGAATGCGAAACAAGTCAACCCAGGCCTTCTATCTTCAAAGGTTGGTGGTGTTTTGGAAAATCAATCATCTACGTTGGCCACTCCTAAATCTTTGACGACAACAAGCTCAAGTCAACCTGATCCGTCTTATGGAACTCCAGCAGAACTTAACATGCAGGTATGCACCAGTATATTGTTCTTCGGATGTATGCTTTTTGTGTACTTGTTGCACTTTAATGTTACAGTGCCAATCATTTTATCTATTGCATTGAGTTGGGGTATACACTAAGTTATATGAGCCTATACAAGTTATACAACAGGTTCATTCAACTCATACCCCTTCTTTCCTATGTTGATCCTACTTTGAGCCTTTGTGAAGAATTTTGCAACTTGAGGCTCCAATGGGACATATTGAAGATTGATCCTTGCCTGCTGGCGGTGGGAACTTTGGAATGATGCCTCGACACCAATATGCTTGTTATTCATGCTTGAGTGGGTTGTTTGCAATCTGTGTATAGCAATAATGCTATCACATAGAATAGATGTGTGTGCATCACATGAAGCACCAAAATCAGCCAACAACGAACGAAGCTAGAAAAACTTTCGAAGCGAAGGGAGCCGGACCCCATACATCGAAATGGACTAAAGCAAAAGGATGCTGAGACAGTGACTAGTAGGATAAGGTAACTGAATTTGTTTGCCAAGTCTACAACCCTTACACTCTAAAGAGACATCTCCTGAGATAGACCCCGAAGACCTCGTCGAACTAAGGACGACAAACGAGAACCACAAAGATGACTAAGTCGATGATGCCACTGCTGGAAGGAGCCGGCAGCTGAAGCGACAGAAGCGGAGGGACTGACAATAGTGGTGGCAGTGGAAGGAACATGAAGCCAGTCTAACTCCCAAAGACCCTGAGAGTCACGGCCGCGAGGGCCAGCCCCAACCAAAGTGTGCGTGCGACGATCCTGAACAGAACAAGAGTCAATGTCAAGGATGACGTGACAGCCAAAATCAGTAAGTTGACCAGCAGAAAACAGATTCATGGTAAGTCGAGGAAAACATCAGGAACATAATGACTGGTAAGATTGCCTCGACTAGCAACAGAAAGGGGAGTACCATCAGCAGTGAGTACATGAACAGAAAAATCAAGAGATCTAAGAGAGGGCAAATTGGAAGAATGAGAAGACATATGAAAAGAAGCTCCGGAGTCCAGAACCCACGGGGATGTACTCAACTGTGTAGAGGGTGGCCGCTCAGTGCGGGAAGCATAAGTCACAGAGCCTGCAGTACCCGACGAAGAAGAACCTGAAGTGGCAAGCAGACGCTTAAGTCTCAGAATATCCTACTCAGTCAACACGGTGGCTGAAGGTGTTGGAGTAGAAGTCCCTGAAGATGATATCCGCACCTTATGCATGTGCTCCTTCTTAAGGAAGCACCGAGATTCGAGATGACCATCCTGGTTGCAGTAGCCGCAATGAGGACGAGAGCGGCCCTGACCACCAGTAGGAGTGGGCAAGAGCGGCAGAGCACTGGAGCGGGAAGGAGTGGGTGCAGCAAGCGGCATAGCAGAAGCTTGAGCAGCGAGCACAGAGGTAACCTCAAGTAAACTAGCACCACGTAAGTGAGTCTCCTCGGCACGAATCTCAGAGAGCGCCTCCATGAGGGAAATACTGCCACGAGCAAACAACTAAGCACGCCGCGGCTAAACTCCTTACGGAGCTGAGACAAGAACTCATAGACACGATGAAACTCCAAGTCAGCTCTCACAGCCTGGAAACACTGGCAAGTACAACAACCAGCAGTGCGGAGAGAATCAAGCTGACGCCAAATAGCAGAACTGTGTGCGTAGAAATCATCTAAAGTGGAGTCACCCTACTGAAAAGCATGCTCCCGGCGGACCACAGACAGGTATAAAGGCATCACCAGAGGGCTGATAGCGCTGACGAAGACGGGTCCACATCTCAAATACGTCCGGGAGGCCCAGGAACTCAGAGACAAACTGAGGCAGAACACTAGCAAGGCAGAACACTAGCAGTGAAAACAGCTGTGGCACGAGCATCATCATCAAGCCACTGAGGGTAAGCTGACAAAGCCTCATGATAAGTGTGAAGAGCATCCTCATAAGTCAAAACCTGCTCATCATAAGCACGAACGGCTACCTCATCGGCAAGCTTAGCTTCATCCTTCGCAGCCTGATTAGCATCTGCATCAAGAACTCGTGGTGTCGGCGGAGTAGGAGCCACAAGAGGAACCGGACGGGCGGACAGGGGACTTCGCCAGAAAGAATGCCCGAGAGACGAATGCCACGCATATGAATGCGCATGAAGCCAACGAACTCGATGTAGTTGGTACCATCAAAGGTCATCGGATAACGAGGAACCGCAACATAGACCGACAATGTAGGCATCATACCTGTTTTTTCTTCTTTTTCTCTCTCTCTTTTTACCGAAAGGAGCCTTGGCGCTGCGGTAAAGCTGTTGCGTTGTGACCATGAGGTCACGGGTGCGAGTCCTGGAAACAGCCTCTTGCAGAAATGTAGGGAAAGGCTGCGTACTATAGACCCAAAGTGGTCGGACCCTTCTCCGAACCCTGCGCAAGTGGGAGCTACATGCATTGGGCTGCCCTTTTTCTTAACCAATGAGCCGGATCAGACAGACCCAAAACAGAAGCAGCAGCGCAGTGCAGGTGAAGCGCTCGATCCTGATCGAATCAGGCAGCGACGGAGAGATCCATCGGGCGTCCAGGGAGCAGTGGCGGTCGGCAAGAATCATCATGGGAGGCAGGCGTGCGTTGGCCGGCTTGTCATGAACGGACGCAGGAGGCCAAAACGGGGCGGGTGGCTTCGTCCAGGCAGCTGGCGCGGGCCATTGTTGTTGCGGGCGGGTTTGGTCAGGCAGCAGATGGAGGCTCGATCTGGAGGTGAACCGGGCCGGAAGTACGAGATCGAAGTCAGGGCGGCTCCAGCAGCAACGCGGACACCGAATCTGGACGGGAGGTTGCCGAATCGAGTCGGAGCAGGATCCAAGGGCCGACGGCAGGAGATCAGAGGCAGGGTGGCTCGATGGCGGGTCTACTTCCGGAAGCGGAGAGCAGAAGTTGGCGGCTGAGTTGATCCGCACGAGGGATGTGTTGACCAGGGCAGCTGCAACCTGTAGATCGATGGGATCCGGCGGAAATAGAGATCCAGGGGAATCAGCAACTGGCCGAGAGGATGATGGCGGCGCGAGAGATTGGATCGAGAGCACGACTTGCGCATGCAAAAAAATACCCTAAGGCTCTAATACCATGTTAGCAATATGCAACTTGTATTTCCTGAGGGCCAATGGCCAATATATATACAGGTGGTAAAATATGCAGGAAAACACCTCATACAGGTGGTAAATATACATGTTAGAATATAATAACAGTCTACATGCAGACACCACTTGGGTATTCTGTTCCTGATGGCATGGTATGCCGTCTTCGTCGCGCTCTATGTGGCAAGCCCTCTCGTGCTTGGTTTGAGTGCCTCTCCTAAGTGGTCACTGTTGCTGTTTTTTTGGTAGAGTGATCATGATCCCGTGTTCTTGGCCCACCTTCTGTCACGCGGTCAAACACTTCTATGTGTAGATAACATAATCATCACTGGAGATGATTCTGAGTACATTTTCTTTGTGAAGGCTCTCGTCTTAGTGAGCAGTTTTTATGTCTGATCTTGGTCATCTTTGCTACTTCCTTGGGATTGAGATTTCTGAGATGGGTTCTTTATATCGCAAGAGAAGTACATTCAGGATCTTCCTGCTCGTGCTGCTCTTACCGATGAGCATACCGTTGAGACTCTGATCAAGCTCACTGTCCACCTCCGAGCTTCTGATGGTGAGGTCAGCCTTTGTCTGATCCAACGCGCTATCTTCATCTTGTTGGGCTTGTCTATCTAGCTATCACTCGTTCGGATATCTCTTATATCCTGCGTCGGTTCGTCTCTGCTCCCACCTCCGTTCACTACAGTCATCCACTTTAAGTTCTAGATATCTTCATGGGACCATTTCTCGCTGTACTTCCGAGCTCAAGTTCGTTACAGCTTCATGCCTGTTCAGATGCTACTTAGGCTAGTGATCTTGGGGATCACCAGTCGCTTTGTGCTTACTATGTTCTTCTTGGTTCTCTCATTGCCTAGAAGACAAAGAAACCAACTGCAGTTTCCCGTTCGTGTGCAGAGGTTGAGTTGCGAGGTATGGCCCTTTTGACATCAGAGGTGACTTGGCTACGATACTACACCAACTCCTTTTATGTCTGATAGTACAGGTGCTATTAGTATCGTGTGACCATATGAAGCATGAGCTCACCAAGCATATTCGTGTTGATGCTTCTTTCATGTGGTTATGTGTGGAGGATCAGGTGATTGCTCTACAGTATATGTGCCTTCCGATCTACAGCTAACAGTTTTTTCTTTTAAGGTCGAGATTAGAACACAGCATTGTTTTTAC